AAAATCTGCTGCCCTCTGCCAGAAAGTTGTCAATGGGAAGAAGACAACATGACGATGACCCAAAGCACACAGCAAAACTGAGCACACAGTGGTTGAAGGAAAAAAAGGTGAATGTCCTTGCATGGCCTAGTCATAAGGTAACCATACGTGCCATTTTTACGGGACACGTCCTGGCCAGGATTTCTATATTGACTAAAATATCCAGGTTTTGGCTGTTTGCGCTGCACAGACCGATCGGTGTATGACATCCGTGAGAGCTATAGAGAGCAGACGGCTCCTTATGCTTTTGAATCGCTCTCGTGGTACTTTGATGTCATACAATGATCGGCACAGTGCTGCTTCAGGTCGAACAAACGAATGAACACATCTAATCTGTATGTGTATTTGCATTGCTTTTACCGTTCTCTGTAGATCCCACCTTCTCATGTGCCACGATTGGTCGATTATGTACAATGCCTGCACGTTATTGGCCAAGCTACTTTTCGATCATTACCTTCAGCAAGTATGAAAACAAGAAATAAAGCCAAATATAGAAATCCTGGCCAGGACATGTCCCGTAAAAATGGCACGAATGGCCACCCTAGCTAGTCAGAGCCCAGACTTAAACCCCATTGAAAATCTCTGGAATGACTTGAAGACTGCAGTCCACAAACGCTCGCCATCAAATTTAACTGAACTTGAGCAGTTCTGCAAAGAAAAGTGGGCAAATATGGCAAAGTCTAAATGTGCAAAGTTAGTAGAGACATATCCCAACAGACTAAAGGCTGTAATTAAAGCTAAAGATGGTTCAACAAAAAACTGACACAAGGGGGTGATCCTTTTTCCAACTCGGTGATTCTGTTTTATATTTTATTATTTTTTTCTGACATGTTGGTGTTATATCTTTCACTTGGATGTTATAAGTTGCACTGAGTAAATACAGCTGGATAAGACAAAAACTGTTTGCGTCTTCATTTCCGGCTGCAAAGATTATTTTCTAAACCCACTGTATTTAGGACCGAAACTAATTTATTTATACTGTGCAATTTTAATTATTGTATCAAAACAAACTAATTTGAAATGCAAACATAACCATGTTCCATACAGTTACATCTTGTAGCAAGTGAGCACATGACCGGTTCTTCAGTTGCCTAATTTCATAATTATGTTTAAATCAGTTTCATAATATTGCCATGTAGAGCATTTTATCCTGAATAAATTGTGATCTGGTGGAGCATTAAAAAGATTATTATTATTATTATTAAACACATCTTACCAGCAAACATACACTCGTTTTCATCCTTCTCTCCACTCTCTGAGGCAGAAGTCTCTAAACTCATCCTTTCCAATCATCCTACTACTTATCCGCTTGATCCTATTCCATCTCATCTCCTTCAAGCCATTTCTCCTGCCGTTGTACCTGCACTCACTCACATCGTTAACACATCCCTTCACACTGGTGTTTTTCCCTCAACATTAACCAGGCTCGTATAACCCCACTTCTTAAGAAACCCACTCTTAACCCAACTCTTTTAGAGAACTACAGACCGGTTTCCCTTCTACCTTTTGACTAAATAAATAAATAAATAAATAAATAAATTATTAATGCATGTTAGAAAGCCACATCACATAATATCTATGCTACTAAAGACAAATTTAGGTCGCTGTACTTCCTTGCATTGGGAAATTACAGTGCTGCGTTGATGGGGTTAGAAGTCACGGAAAACCTTGGGGGAAGAGGGGTTAAATTAAGTAGCCTTTCCAGGAAGGTGGCCCCAAGCTGAGGATATGGGTGCCAGGGTGTACGGCTCTGGCTCTCTGGAGTTGTGTGATGCTGACTGAAGGCCCTGACAAACATTTCGCCCCCTCTGCTCACAGCATAGTAATGTCAGAGCGAGACAGAGAGAGAGATGGAGCTGTTTACAAACACACATTTTAAAAGCAAATAACACTACCGCCGCAATGGATAGACACGCACAGGGGCAATGTGGGAGACGGTCCAGATGGATGGACCTTGACAACCTGGATGTCTCCCACTGGCTAAAGCCAGGGCTTCAGACATGAGCTAACTGGAACAGACAGCAGTTAATCTATTCCGCTCTCTCTTCATTCATAAACCTACTCTATATGACTCACTCCATTTACGTCTGTGACTGTGTTTGAGCATTAGGGGTTAGCTGTTAATCATGATTTAAAACTGATTGATTTTATTATTTAATTATGATTTTAATCATAATTAAAAACTGATGCATGTTCATTTCTGATGGCTTGTATGTAATACTCAAAATCTGTTTAGAAAAAGGGAATTATAATAGCATAACATTTTTAATTGGAAAATTTAATTTACAGTGGAGACGATTCAGCAAGTATTATTTATGTATGTATTTATTTATTTTTCCTGCTAGCCAGTTGAGCCAGTAGTTCCTAATTTTTACTTGCCCTATATGACAAATGAATGATCTATATTTATTTTTTGCAATATATATTTGCTAGAAATATTAATATTTTTTCAATATTGCGTTCTGGAAAGTATAAAGCTGTAATGTAACTCCATGAATTCATAATCACACGTAACTGTTCCATCAGCTGGAGCCTCAGGCCATTGTTATTGTTGAGCTGTGCACCAGCAAGACACTTTCGGTCATGTTTTCATACTGCATGCACATATGCAGTTATTTAGTAGTGAAAAAACATGTTATGGTTTTGGACGATTTTTCATGTTATCCACTGTTGGCTTGCTTTGACTTCCCGATCTTTGTAGCTCTCCACAAAGTGGATATCCTTTGCAAACACAAATGTGGAAAAACAGATATCCCTGACTGTTACAGGCCTCCCATAGATCTGCTTTTCCAGCACAAGTGCACAGAACAGGGGCTTAGAGGAATGGATTATTTATGGTTCTGGTGAGCTGCGGTCTATGGGCCCTAAAAGGCACTTACCTGTATACAAAAATAACAATCAGGCAGACGTAGATAGCTCTGCCATCCTGTAAGTACACCTGTGAGACTGAAAGCACATCAAAGCTTTCACATTGAACTTAGGGATGAGTTATATCTTTTTTCAGGCCAGTCACTGGACTCTTTTGAGATGGACAGAGCTGCTTTATTACACACTGTCATTTGCCCACATTAACATCTCCACACAGTCAGCTCCCTTTTGGGAGAACTCCCCATTTACATTCCATTATTTAAATTTCCTCATGAGCAGAATTAATGACTCAGGCCTTCTGATGAGGTGCCGCCATTGCCGGCATCACTTAATTAGAATAATCTATCTCTACGGGTCAGAATGTGTGAAAGGGGGGCACAGCATTGGAACGTTTCATTAGAAAAGTTCATTATGAAATAAATAGCTTTGACTCGCAGAGAGACTGGAGGTAGAGAGGTGCTTGGAATGAACATGGTTGTCTGAATATCGGTCCTTTGAGAGGAAAAGGAGGATAGATATATTTTTTTATTATCTAAGGTGAAGTATTGGAAGCATAGTGGGATTCTGGCAGGCAATTTCATGTCATGCTGCAGCTTAATTAGTGTCAGAAATGGGACGTCTGAATGTTAATTATATTTGATGAAGACTTGTACTCCCTGCAGAGTGAATTACAAACATGTGCCACTCCTTGCAGCTCAAATTAGGAAATGATGTCGCACAGAGAAATTACCACTGAGCATATCTACTGTAAAAGCATATCTACTGTAAATGCCCTAATGAAGGTAGAAATCAAGACAATGTAAACGAAGTGATTTGAAGTGCCTTTTATTTTGTTTCAGACACAGTTGATCACATGACCCAGAGCACAAAAAGGGAGCGAACAGGAAGTTACTCTCTTAAAGGGAACACACACTAGTTCCAATGAAACAATGCATAAATGGATACTTCCATCTTTGTGATGGAGCGCTGGCAATTATTTGTGCACTGAATTGTTCTTTGTTAATATTAAAATCTTTATATATATTATGACCGATTACGTCCGACCACACTCTGCTAAATATGTTCCGTTTTGATCTAGAGTTCTGGCTTTGATAAAATGTTTCTTCACATTACGAGTCATTTAAGAGATTTTGCTATTTCTTGATTGTACGAAGGAATAAACATTGACATCTTTCTATAAAAAGTAAAATAAGGGATAATGGGCAGTCAACCATTATCACGAAAAATGTAACCCTGTCAGGTGTCTTTTATTTTAAAGGGGACATCGGATGCCCATTCTCCACAAGTTGGTATGATTATTTAGGGTCTTCATGAAATGTTTGTAACATACTTTCGTTAAAATTCCTCAGTGGTCATTTAAAACAACACCCTTTTTACCTCTCGCTGAATGACACCGTTTCAGACTGAGACGGCCCATAACAAACTGGCTGTGTGTTTTCAGCTTTTCTGAACTGGCAGACATGCCAGAAACCTAACTAAATGCAAAACAAACAAAAAAAAAAAAGTGAAAATTTAATCCGATAAAGGAGCTTGTTTTGAGATGATGATGTACCTGTACTTACATTAACATACATATTTTTGAGTTGATCTGGGTTGAAATGACTCTATTAGCTCACTTGTAGAGACAACAGAGAAATAGACCAGAATGAGCTTTATTGCCAGGTATGTTTACACATACGAGGAATTTGTTTTCGTGACAGAAGCTTCCACAGTGTAACATGAACCATGAACACAGAGCAAAGAAAACCTGGATGAGTGATCAGTTATACATTGTTGTCATAGGCAATGGGCAATATGCAGAAATATTTGACATTGGAATGCAAAAATCGACTAATCAGAATTAAGTATTTCAAAGAGCTATGCAATCAAAAGTCATAAATTCATAAATTAAATTTTAAGTAAACCTTCGAATATGTACATTTTTAACAAATATAACTACAGGTAGTGTAAATGAATAATGACCATTGAATAACTATATTATCTTTTAAAATACCTCTTTAAATAATAATATTTTTCAATTTTTTAAGTATTGTTAGAATATTTTCAGAAAAACAATTATTACAGTAAATTTGTACACCTTCTAATTTTCGCTGTGACATGTAAAAGGAAACAGGCATGTAAAATAACTGACGGACAACTGTATGAAGGATTAGCTGCTTGATCTTTGTTTTCCGATCTTCTTCTGAAGACATTTATAACTTCATTCTGTTCAAAACGTCAAAAATGTAATAAAAACCAGACCAGAAATTTGAATAGGTTCACATTAGCTTACAAATATTCTCAAATGCCCATTCAGTTACATTCAACAGCTATCTACAGACCACACATACATACAACAAACACATTTAATAAATTTTGTTTTCATAGAACCCTGCCCAAAATGCCCATATTTTCGGGCCAAAAACACATAGGTATTTGTATAATGTGTATTGTTTGCACACAAACAACAAATAGTGCATTAAGAATGAGAGACATAAAAAAATAAATGTGGACAAGTTTCTATAGAGTGCATTCTCGTTTTATGTTATTTTTTGCTATGATTTTAACTATAAATTTGGCAGATTTTGGACAAATATTGCTTAGCTGAGAAAGTGACAACAAATACAGTATTCAGTCATGCACACAACAACTGACTGAGATTAGCTATATAAACCTCTGGTGTGATAACAGAATAAGTACCAGATGGGTGTCACTGGATGAAGTCACCTCTCTTCCAGAGATTCAGAGCCTGAGGAAGACAGCTGCTGTAGTGGAGGCTGGGAGGAAGGGTTCGGGATGACTAAAGGCTGACTTTAAGAGGATCCTCAATCTTCTTTTGCAGTCAAGTTGAGAGTAAGACAACAGAGTAAAAGAAGGAGAGAAAGGGAGGACAGAATAGAGGCAGAAAATCCTGGGCAAGCTGATCACAGCTTGTCTGACATCAATCCAATCATCTTGTTTTTCCTATTGGTTCACTGGACATACAGCTGATTTTTTAGGCTAGAGGGAGAAAAAGAAAGTTTAGAAGGTTAGATGATACAATATGATATTATGGTCACTGCAGTTGAGAACCAATTTAATGTAGAAACATTTACATTTTCACCTATCCAACCCTATAATTTTATCAGAAAACCTTTCAGAGCTCAGCTTTAGGGCTTGGAGTGGTTGGTGTTTAATCCGGTGTCTCTGTCTGATAGGTTTAAAAGTTAAAGTCTAACGTCAAAACACGGCAAATGTACCCCACACTCCACACAGAACCCATCCATTTCCCCATTTAATGAAAAAAAAAAAAGGTGAACATTTTCACTGGAACAAAAGATGATAATGTACTGTGTAAAAACATGAGGGTGTTATGTCATTACACATTACCATAACTCTGACTCTAATGTTCTACACCGATGCAGCCATAGAGAAAAAAAAACAGGTTGAGATCTCACAGTAAAAGATGAGAGAGAAATTATGCTTGAGGCCTGTAATTTGCCAGCAGAATCATTTCTATATCCTGTAAACCACATTAACATGTCATTAAATATTTACATTAAAATATTGATAAGTGACTTTAACCCTTTCAAAAGACAAATCTTCAAAAGGAACACAGTGAAACAGTGGAAAATTGGTGTTATTTGTCTTCTGGTTGTCAGGAAATATTCTATGGCGCTGAACAGGTTTTGTACCATGGTAAAAATTGAACAAGGTTAAAAAACTCAAGGATGAAGCCATTAAATGTTGTCATTTAGCCATCAAGTTGGATTTTGTGCAAGTTTTTCCTTTCAAGTTTCAGGTGTCAATAAAATATGAAACTACTTTTCTGGATAATTCAGTTATAAGGGATTATTATTATGAAAGACACTGTAGCGTATGGACCAATCAGCCTCGCCGTTTTTCATTAGATTTAACAAATCAATTATTCATTAGATTAACATACAACACTGAAGGACACTCTGAAGGCTCAAAGAGCATTCCTTGAAGATTTTGCTTACAACTGGTTGTCAATCAAATTTCTTCAAACAGAAGATAAAGACTTGGTAAGGGAAGCCATAGAGAAGCCAATAATGAGTTGTAAGAGCCATGGAGACTGAAGTCAAGGTCCACCAGTAAACCATATCAACAGCCCTCCAGAACACTTGTCTGTATGGTGGTGATGGTGTAACAAAAGAAGCTATTAAATAGAAACATCCATGTACAAAGTTAGTGGTTGTGACTGATCTGAAGTCTGGGGTATAAAACTCTGATTAGCCTTAAATTTAGACAGCTTTTAATCAGCATTGATATTGTGCACCTTAAACAGTAGGCCTAGCAGATGCAAATAAAAATGCAAATGAGTGGCCCAGGAACATGCTACAATAGCCCGCTCAATGTTCTGATGTCGATCCAACTGAAAATGTATATGTAAAAATGTGACTAAGTAACATGTGCCCCCGGTTTCACAGACAAGGCTTAAGCCTAGTCCTAGACTAAAATGTAAGTCTGAGCCGTTTCAACTGAAAGAAACTTGCACTGACTGATCTTAAAATATATCAGTGCCTTTGTTTTGTCTCAAAAAGCACACCAGTAATGCTTTTTTATAAGCATGTTTATAAAAATTACTTAAATGTCCTAATTGAACTATGGTCTAATCCTGGCTTAGTCTAAGCCCTGTCTGTGAAACCGGGCCTAAGTGACTAAATGAGAATTTAACCATGCTGAATGTAAACATGCTGCAAATCTACCATGACAGTGTGATATTTTCTTAAACAATCTAAAATTAAAACTATTAATTTTTTGTTTCAGTTCTTTGAAGATGAAAAGTATCAAGTAGATAAAATCAGACTACAGGTGCATCTCAATAAATTAGAATGTCGTGGAAAAGGATCTATAACCATAAAGCAAAGCAGGAATGACAGGTAAGTGCAGTTGGTGAAGACTTTTTAACATGCCTCATTGTGTTAAATTAAGCACACAATTAGAGTAACACTGGAACTGATTGCATGGAGTAATAACAGCACCAGCGACAGCACTTCAGACTTTTAATTACAACCTTGATCTTTGATGCACCCCAGTATTATTACAACCGATGTGAGACAAAAAATGGGCACAAAACCCGGCTAAACCACCACTTCATGTGACATTTCGAAGGACTCTGCTGAGGTTCAGGTCACTTGATACAGTGAGAGGGAGAGGACTGTTTATCTTTGCCATAGTAATGAAATACCCCAGATGCCTCTTCAAAGGGCAATTTGCATTTCAGGCCTCAGCACTAAAACCATCCTTCATTTTCAAATGCCAGGCCTCAGAGGGTTATTCACATAAATTCTGCAGTGCACAATCTCTTTAAAACAGCCCAGTAAAATCTAGGAAGACCTCCCCGCCAACCACTTGTCTCCTGGTACAGCTTCAAGTCTAGAGTGAATGAGAAGCCATCCCTAAATCAAGTATCGCTCTCTTTGACAATAACGTCTGTGGCTAATTGTTTCATAATTGCAGAAAAACTGCAGTATTACATACTGTACCTGTGATGACATTCAATTATAATTTTATTTCCTCACAAACCATTTATTTTACTATTCTATTTGAAATATTTATTTGTTTTTTATGAAAAATGTACTGCTTTGGAGTGTTACATTAGTATATGCATCATATATCATAGTGATGCATGATGTATGATTCTAAGCGTTTTATAAAGATGCACATCAGGACTTTGGCTTTTCCATCAGCATCTGTGGTTGAACCGTTTTTGTATTATATATATATATATATATATATATATATATATATCTTTTTTTTTCCAGCTCTTCTGCATGGATGAATCTGGTGGTTTGAGGTATACGCATGTTTGCCCTTGATAACCATATCAGAGCAGATCTGTCATTCTACAACAAGACCCAATGACATTAAGAAGAAAGCCAGTCCTAAAAGACGTATGTGAAAAATGTTGCCCAAGTATAAACTGCCAATATTTACTCCAATAGAAAATTTAGCAATTTTCACCTCTAAAAACTTATGTAGTGCACATTCAATGCAAAACAATGGATAGGCAATGGTCTCATGGATATTATTCAACAAAATCAGAAAAGCAAGATCAAAGAGTTGGTGTATATTTTTTCAGTTGCTGAGGCAATTCAGAGCCCATGTGTAATTTAATGTATTTCAAAAATAGTCCAAGTGATGAAATGTGGGCCACATCTGATTGTTTGCATTTTTTACTTTCTTTGTGACAAAAGTAAGCTTTATCTTACTTTCAAGAAATTTCTGATTACTTCGGGCAAGTTCACAAGCTGAAGTTAATTCTGCAGAAGGCATAGAGTAGGCCTACAGTACCTTCATCATGAGGTTTTCATGTAGCATTTAAATGGTTGCCTTTCCTCTTAAAATAGCTGTACAAAATATGCTGTCCGTTGTTAATAATTTAGTGCTCACATCCCAAATTAAGCCAACAAAATAACCTGGAGCAAAATTGTACATAATAATCTTCACAGCTTTAGGTCCCATGTTCAAATGAAATTGCTGTTGCCAACCCAACGCTGACTTTCATCCACCTTCTCCCTCCCACCTTCCCTTCATTCCTCCCTCTGGTGGTATTTTCATTTGCTGAAATTAAATATGATGGAACGGTCTGCTTTTCACCCGTGCAGTGTTTTGTGCTTTCACTTACAAAGCAACTGAGACAAATACATTTAACAATGTTCTTTTCTTTTCATTTTTGTGAAGAAAATTAAATGTTAAATGACACTAACATTTCATGAAATGTGACATTGTACTTTTGATTCTGGGACCCTTTCAATTCCTACAACTGACACGGGGTCATTCTTGTGCGATTTCAATTACACAGACCTCTATATGAGCAGGACTCGGGCAGCAGGACCCTGAAAGTGAGTGAGCTGCAGTAGTGGTGATTCATTCTTTTCCTAAGGCAATGCTCAAGCAGCCTCCCTATTATGCTTCTGAGTGGAGGGTGGGTGTCTCAGGATGGAGACATCAAAGAGTCATGGCCTGATCTTCTGCAATCGCAGCTGTGATGTAAAATGGAGGAAGCACTTGGGGCATAACATTTGCATTGAAGCTGTGGGATTGTGTATGTTAAATGCTGATCTTAATGTGTAGCGTCTTCAGAATGGATCTGCCCACTATAGTGATACTGTAGCATTTTACAGTCATTTACTGTACATATTAAAGAGTCAATACTGAAATTGATTTTCAGAAATTATAGAACTTGTTTTCATTGAGTCAACTAACAGAATATAAGATAATATTTTCTCTCTTGCAAGTGCAGCTTTATGTTGGATAAAGAAGCTGTGGGGTTGGTTTTGACAGACTAAGATGCTTATTTAAGATCTGTCAAGTCTAACATCCATGATGGCAATCTACAGGCAGAAATTACATGTAGCAGTTTAATATTAACAATAAATAATAAACTGATAAAAATAAATGTTCTTTTTTGGCATTATGGTTCCATGAATGGTCTTTAACAATAATAAAACTTTTCACTTGCACAGTATTTTTTTAGTGGTTACCAGAAATAATCAGCAACATCTTAAAAATAGCAAAATAACTAATTTCTTCATGGAATGTCAATGAAGAACCTTTTTAAGACTTGAAAAGCTTTTTGACTGAAAGTTTCTTTGAGGAACTAAAGGTTTTGAAGAACCTTTTTTTTAATTTATTTTTTAATCTTTATTTTTAAGAGTGAAGCTCATAGTGAATGGTAAAAATATTAAGAAAACCTGTAAAAAAATGGGAGGGAATGTAATGTGTAAGAAAACAAGGGGTGTCAGAGCCATGTCACCATATGGTAGTGCATAGCTCTTGTCTACTTTTAGCTCATGTCGAAGCGTTTTTTTTTTCTCTCTCTCTCTTAGCTTTACTTCCACTTCACTGTCCTTTCCAAAATAAAGCAAACAGCCCATAAAAAAGAAACCTAGGCATTCTGAGGTCGAGATTTTGTCTGACATGCCTCAAGACAACCAATTGTGCATTAAAGTAAAGAAAATGCAAAGCAGAGAATACCATGAAAAAGGAGAACA